GCAGGCAGGACTGGCCTAGGGGGTATTTTAATTGGTTTTAACAAAATTTTAATAGAGCGGCCAATTCAAATATTTATTCTTAATTATTTTAGATTTGTATTTGGTATTTATGTGGGATTGTTTTAAACTGGCTGTAAGCCGCCCTGAGTCCTCCGGGAGAAGGGCGGGGTATAAATGAAATAAATGAAATAAATGAAATTGAAATGGACTTACGACAGATAACAATGATGTTCTCTGACTCTTTGCTGTAGTTGGCATCTTGTGTATTTTATGAAATGTTGACTATCACCCAGTTGATTCTGCATATAATGTTGATTCTTTTATGGTGGGGGTGTATAGCCTTTTGTTTACAGTTTGGCTTACTGGGGTCATTTTCAAACAATGATTAAAAAAAAGTACAGTAATTGCTTCAGTGAGACTTGTCCTGACAGGCTTTGGGTAATCCAATAGTCACAATCCTGAGGCATGGTAGATGGAGTATGACGTATGGTATAGTATGGTGAACACAGTAATATGAGAGTTCTGCACCTGGTTTGTTCTGAAGTTGTATTTATGTAGTTGGACATATACGACAAGCTGGGGATGCTGCTGTTGTATCACCTTTATAAATGCATACTTCCTTTTCTGAACTACTCAGTCTCATTGCTGAAGTGTTTATGGAGTCACCTAGAATTAATCTTAGGAAATGTTTTTCTCCTGATTTCGCAATTGGAGGTAGTTTGAGAATTCATGGTCTCCATGCAACCATGTTATATCCTGGGTAATTAGAATTTTGACTTACAAAGCTGGTCATCCATTGGACCTTTTACCTGACAATATTCTTTACAATAATATTTAAATACTGTAAATACTCATATAAATGTGTAAGGCTGAACAATCAAATCTGCTTTTTAGCAATTAGTATACCAGTAGTTCTTGACTTATGATCACAATTGAGCCCAAAGTGTCTGTTGCTAACTGAGACAGTTAAGTGAACTTTGCCACATTTTATGATATTCCTTGCTAGTTAAGTGAATCACTGCAGTTGTTAAGTTAGTAACATGGTTGTTTAATGAACTGGCTTCCCCGTTGACTTTGCTAGTTAGAAGGTTGCAAAATGTGATCACATGATCCCAGGACACTGCTACTGTCATAAATATGAATCTGTTACCAATCATCCAAATTTTGAACACGTAACCATGGAGTTCCTGCAACGGTTGTAAATATGAAAAGCTGTCATAAGCCTCTTTTTTCAATGCTGTTGTAACTTCACACAGTCACTAAATGAACTGTTGTAAATCGGGGACTACCTGTAATACCTCAGTTCAAGAGGTGAGCACATCATAGAAGAATATTTATTTCTACATTAATAGATGTATCTATGATTAATGTTTCTTGTCCTTTAATCTTTGGCCTTCTGTTGCAGTCATAAACATTACATATAGTGGTTAACAGATAGGCAGCATATACAATCAATCAATCAGTCAGTCAATCAATCATCAATCAATCAATAAGACAAGTTACTTTCTTGCCCATTCTGAGAGCCAGTGTGGTGTAGACTACCTAAGAAACTATTGGCCTAGAATTTTGGCGGCCTGTGTTGAAGTCCACTTCCAGCCATGAAAGCTCATTATCAATTTCACCTCTGGACTATCCTGTAGTATTCAATTATCATAGACAAATTAGAGGAGAGAGTGCTAGGAAGCTACCATGGAACAGTAACTAGTGTGCTTTCTGGAATTAAAAAAAACAGTATTTGCAGTATAATAATAATAATAATAATAATAAT